AGAAAGTACTAAATAGTACTTGTACAAATTTTGATTTCTGTACCTTATTCACAAACATTTTTATAATAATTGTCTGCTTGATTATTAGTATAATGAAAAAGTGTGGTTCTTGTTTAAAAAATATGATTATTATCCAACTTAATACTCCTTTTAAATGGTATAAAAAATTTATGTGTTTGAAAATATGGTAATTATAGGTATATGTGGGTACTTGTAGATTTCAAAAATTAAAATTTGAATACTCGTAAATGCTCGATTAATAGACAAATCGGTGGTGAGCAGAGCATAGTGTACATGCTTGGTGAATCATCCGGTAAACATTCCCGATAGATATTGAGCAAACAACTTATTTTATTAAGAAGCATTTACAATTTTATTTCAGAACTGAGTATTTGACTTTGTACACTTTTTTATGGAATTCCTACCCCTTTTAATTTTACTTCACTCAAAAATGTGTAAATGTTATTCAAAATCCAAGTATAATCGTGTATTTAAAAATACCCAACTCAATATCCAGTGACCARTGTGGTTTTATACTTTTATTTAGTCTCGATGTAACAAGTTATGATTGAAAAGTGCTCTAAAGTTCCTTACTATAGCTAATCTATGAATATTATACGCGGCTGATGTATATTTATTGTTATATAATAATATTATGCTTATTACTTACTATWCAGAATTTTCTAAATTTCCGACTTCCAAAGTATCTTGGGTGTACCGTTTGACGTACAATGTTGATGCAATCACAAGATTTCTATTACAATTCGGATTTTATGTATTCGAACTGTGGGAGCTGTCTTCATACTGTTGGAAAACACGATCGAATTAAAATCAGCTGCGTAATGATAGACGTTCGTGACTGATCGTCAATCGGCGCCGCGCCGCGGTGTTAACGACAACGGAGAATTTCTTCAGTGGCTATTACCGGCGGCGGCTGTGGAGCCATTGACATTGACCATGTCCCCCCACCTACCGTACGGTCATATTGCTATTATTTCATTTCCGTTATAAATCTTTCCTATTTTTTCCTCTTCCTCAGAATTTATAAACTGTATCCTCATTGGTATTTTTTTATTCGTAACGCACCATAAATGCCCTCGTGATACAGTTTTTTTATGTTTTTTCTCCAAAACCGATTAGCGATTATACATTACATAGATAATTCCACTATTTCCGCACATACTAGGACAGAATTATAGTTTACAATAATTATTGTAGACGTAATTTTATAAATGTACCTATATATACATTTTATTAGTTACTTCTTAGCTGTATTTGTAAATCTAATTGTTTAACATACCTAATATAATATAATATAA